CATAATAATCCACCTGGTGGATTCACGGTAGTTTTTCTTAAACACCTGCTGGTGTAGGATTTGATAGTGAGTTCTGTGCTTTGAACATTGTGGTGTGAATTGTCATTGTAATCTAGATTTTGCAGAGTTTTGGGAAATGGCCTTCCTGGCCAAGCCTGTAGATTTGAAGAAAGTACATTAAAATATTCTTGTAATTTTCCCCTGTGAAGCCCTTGAACCTGCTCCATGTCAGAAAGCACGGGTATGGTTTGCCAATATTTTTAAACTGTGTTGTTCTACTCAGGGACTCCTTTTACCCTTGAGTTCATGATCTTTCCTAGACAAATCACTCCCCCACTCTCACCCCCGCTCCTCCCACTCTCCAGTTCTATCTGCCTAGAAAGAAAAGAAGCTTCTAAACAGTGTCACTTCTTATTCAGTATAGAGAAAGACTGTGTTTATATAACTTCAAGGAAAAAGAACAACTTTCAAGTAATTCTTCTCTCATCACCCTATATAATAAAACCCTAATATGCAAATCGACTGAACGGCAGAACGGCCGGTCGCTAGGACATGCATGGCCACTGGGGGACAGATGCTCAACACAGGAGCTGTCTCCTGGTGGTGAATGCGCTGGTGAGTGCAGTGGTGGTGGTGGGAGTCTCTCCTGCCCCTGCTGCAGGCGGGCAATAAGGAGCCAGGGGTCCCAGCCTGCAAGAGCCCCAGACTGCAAGAGGGATGTCTGACTATTGGCTTGGGCCCGATCCTCCCCAGATGTCCCCCAAGGAGTCCCAGACTGTGAGAGGGTGCAGGCCAGGCTGAGGGACCTCCTTCCCCAAATTTTGTGCACCAGACCTCTAGTATAATACACTTTTATTTCTTTTTTATTTTTTTAAATATATTTTATTGATTTGTTACAGAGAGGAAGGGAGAGATATAGAGAGCTAGAAACATTGATGAGAGAGAAACATCAACCAGCTGCCTCTTGCACACCCCCCACTGGGGATGTGCCCGCAACTCAGGTACATGCCCTTGACCGGATTCGAACCTGAGACCCTTCAGTCCGCAGACTGACGCTCTACCACTGAGCCAAAAACAGTTTCGGCATAATACACTTTTAAAAGTTGGCTTACAAAAACCCACAGGTGAGTCCCATTAGCTTCCATTTTGCTGGCAAGATTGTAGGTGCCATTGGTGTCTCAGCTTAGGCTGGAAATAGAACATCTCCAGGACCTCACCAGGAAAATCCACAGCCGGTTTTCCTCCTGTGTGCCTAAGTTGAACTCAGTTCTGCAGAGAGCATCTTACATGTGGCCAGGTGTTGAAGTTCTGACTAGCAGCTCACATGAGAAAACGCTTTCATGATAGCAGGTGGATCATGTGGATGAGAGAACGGTGCCCTATAGAATTCTCTTATATAATATGTATTCAGGGACAAAGGACCAGTTAGAAATAGTTGAGATGAATCTATCTCTAAGCAACTTACATATTTAACCAACTATGGCCTAACAAATGTAAATCAGAATGACCAAAATAATTTGTAAAATGCCTCTTTCTTCCAGAGATAAGGGCGAGTAAAAACATTTATGATATGGCAAGCTTTAAGGAGCCAACATTCCACTGGTTTTCTTCCCAAGCCAGAGAGATTTATTCATTCATCCATGAATTCAACAAATTATATGACTGAATATATGGGGACATATTTCCTACCCTCAAAGAACTCAGTCTAATAACAGACACAATTTAGATAATTGAAACATAATCTAGGAACAGAGAAGCACACTAAATTTATTGAGACTTCAGAAAGGGCACCCAACTCAGGGTAAGATGGGTAGAGAATGGAAAAAAAAAATATCAGTGGCCCAGCTGGTGTAGCTCAGTGGTTGAGCATTGACCTATGAACCAGGACGTCCCAGTTCAATTCTGTCAGTGCACATGCCTGGGTTTTGGGCTTGATTGCCAGTAGGAGGCATTCAGGAGGCAGCCGATCAATGATTTTCTCTCATCATTTATATTTCTCTCTCCTTCTCCCTCTTCGTTTCTCTCTGAAATCAATAAAAATATATTTTTAAATAAAGAGCATTTTTTTTGTTGTTAATTCTCCCCTGAGGATATTTTTAGAGAGAGTGGAAAGGAGGGGGAGAGTCAGAGAGAAACATCAACGTGTGAAAGACACATCCATTGGTTGCCTCATATACATGCCCAGCCAGGGCTGGGGATCGAGCCTGCAGCCCAGGTATGTGCCCATGATCTGAATTGAACCAGGGACCCTTCAGTCCATGGGCTGATGCTCTATCCACTGAACCAAACCAACTAGGACAGAGCAAAAAAAAAAAAGAAAAAAAAAGAAATATATATATATATATATATATATATATATATATATTTAAATTGGCGAAGCCTTCCTGGAGGCAGTTACATCTAAATTGGTTTTGAAAGAACTATTTACTGGCTGAGGAAAGAAGAATGGGATTGGGGGAATGTTGAGGCAGGGTGAGTGGATGGTGATGTTCCTGGCAGAGAAACAGCATCAACCAAGGTGGAGAGAATGTGGTATCAAGACTTGTATTCTGGCCGGGACCGGTTTGCTCAGTGGATAGAGCATCAGCTTGCAGACTGAAAGGTCCCGGGTTCAATTCCTGTCAAGGGCATGTACCTTGGTTGCGGGCACATCCCCAGTAGGGAGTGTGCAAGAGGCAGCTGATCAATGATTCTCTCTCATCGATGTTTCTAACTCTCTATCCCTCTCTCTTCTTCTCTGTGAAAAATCAATAAAATATAATAAAAAATATATATATTTTAAAAAAAGACTTGTATTCTGGCAGTGCTTGTTGAAATGCTTATTGTACACTGTAAAAATGTCAAGTAGACAGGTACAGGTGTGTGTGTCTGGGGAAAGGACAGAGCTGGAGATCTAGATTTGGCAGCCACTGGGAAGTCCATGGCATTTGCATTGTGAATATCTGGAAATGGTATATGAGGTTATCTGGAAGAGTGAGAAGGGGACCCAGCACAGAGGCCAAGAAGACAGATCATACTAATATTAAGAGGGTGGTCGGGGAGGAGAAGCCAGCAAAGGAAGCTGAGAGGAATGGCTAAAAAAGGTTGGAAGGAAACCAATCATGGGTCAAGGGGAAAAGGGTCTCCATGGGGATGTGGTGATCAGCCATTTCAAATGCCTTTGGGAAGCAAAGAAAGATAAAAACCAAAGAAGTACCTGCAACCGTTAGATTTGGTAACCTGGAGATTGTTAATGACCCTGACAGAAACCCTTTCAGTCAAGTGATAGGGACAGAAGCCTTAGTGCAGAGGATAGCAGACAGAATGTAAGATAAGGAAGAGGAGATAAACAAGAGCAACCCTTGCCTCTGGGCTAGTGGGTGTGCTGACCTCTCTTCTTAAAAGCCATCCAGAAGAAAGGAAGGCAGTTTATGGTCTGCTGGAATGACTGCTCAGGGCCAAAGGTGCCCGGTCACTTGTAGCTGGGTCCCAGACCTTTGATAATTAGGCCCATCTCAGCTCATGACTCTATGCGATGTTCTTAGAAAAGTGCTCAGGCCAAAGCCGGTTTGGGTCAGTGGTAGAGCGTCGGTCTGCGGACTGAAAGGTCCCAGGTTCGATTCCGGTCCAGGGCATGTACATTGGTTGTGGGTACATCCCCCGTAGGAGGTGTGCAGGAGGCAGCTGGTCGATGTTTCTCTCTCATCGACGTTTCTAGCTCTCTATCCCTCTCCCTTCCTCTCTGTAAAAAATCAATAAAATATATATTTTTTTAAAAAGTGTTCAGGACATTGTCCATGCTCTAGGAACTCCTGTTATAATTATCACCGTGTTAGACAAGCTTTAACAGCTTCTAAGAACAAATAATTTATGTAGACCAAATCGTTTTACAGGATGTGTGACGATTCAAATCTTGCATATGGCAAAAACCGAAGCCTAAGAAAAATGATTTGCATACTGGGGTGCCAGTCCCCAGATTAATGATCTGTTCTCTCTCTCTCTTCTCTCATTCTTTTCTGAGTTCTGGTTAAGGTGGAGAGCCCTCCCAGTGAAAAGGAAAAGAAATTGTAAAGACATATGCAGAGAAGCACATCTATGAAAGCAATCAAAACAGAAATACAGCAGTGTGCATTGAAGGTTTATCCCGGTTTGTATACGCAGCTGAAAGATGAGATACAGGGTGGATTTTTAATTTTGGTGTGTCCACTGGTAAAGTGAACATTTTTAATGTAGAAATGGAGACACAGTAAACACAACGGTGCAGCTGTTCCATCGCAGAGGAATTCTGAAACTTGTACAATTCAACTTTCTGGAGATGAAGATTAAGATAAAGAGTGGAAGTGATGGATAGGAGGTTAAGGTCAAAGTCTAGGTATTTTTTGCAGGTGTTTTTCATGGGGAACATGTGGACCCCTATCTCCTAAGAGTATTGTGGAGACTGACATGTATTATACATCCATCTTTCATGACTGCACCACGAATACATCTTTCAACGACGTGCACATCCCTTCTTGGCTGGTGACTGGTTTCCTGTTTACTTTTTCCTTACACCTCTTCACTCCATAGAAGATGCTTTCCGTACACATCTGATCATAACTTAGCAGTTAGCATTTACCATGCACTGCAATTCATCTTGGAAACAGTCCTATATGGTAGAAAGAATGGCCATCATCTCATCGTGTGTGGAGCCAGTGTTTGGCAGCCTGACTCTTAACCACTGTTTCCACGCTTTTAGTGTTAGAAACTGGGCCTCTTTCCCGGCCATCTTCGGCGACCTGCAAACCCAGCTTGCAGTTCGGAAACCATACAGAACCGCGTCCCGTCGCCAAGGGCCGTCGCCGCAGTTTCCGGGTCACCCCCATGGAACCGGCTCAGCGACGCCCTCCCAGCTCTGCGAACTTTCACCTTGGCCGCGCAGAGTTTGCACCCCAATCCCTTTCCCCTCTCCCTAGCCCGCCCCCCCCCCCCGCCTCAGGACCAACCCACAGGGGCACTATTTTAAGGAGCAAAACGAGTATTCGCTAAAAGACCCAGGCCCGCACGAACCCCTGCGAGCGGGGACTTTTTCGGTAGAGCGGCGCCACCCCAGGGTCCGGCACCGGCGCGAGGGCTGGGGGCCCGGGGCCGGGGAGCTGGGCCGAGAGGAGCGCGCACCGGGCGCCGAAAGAGGGCAGATCCCCGGTCCCCGGTCCCCGGTCCCCGGTCCCCAGCGCGGGCCCGAGCGCGGCGCAGGACGGGACGGTGGGACCAGGCGGCCCCGCGGAGAGGAAGGGGCGGGGCCAGGAGGCCGCCGGGCCGCTCCCCGCCTCGCCCCGCCCTCGGCCCCGCCCGGAGACCACGCCCCCGATGACGTCAGTGCCCAGGCCAGCCGGCGCCATTTTGAAAGTGGAGTCGCCTGCTCCTGCCGCTGCCGCCCGCCGTCGCTTGTCGTAGCCGCCGCCGCCGCCGCCGCTGCAGGAGGAAGAGCAAGGACGGGGAAGCCCCGGAGTGAAACCCACCATCCTGCCGGCTCGTCGGCCCGCCCCGCCTTCCTGCTCCCCGGCCCCCCGCCCCCGGCCCCCACAGGTGCCATCCGCCGCCATCCGCCCTCTCTACCCCCCCATCCCCAGGTGAGGGGGGTGAGTTCAGGAAGCGGAGACCCCGAGGCACCCGGCAGGGTCACCATTTGCAGCGCAACATGGCAGGTAAAGGAGAAATCACCCTCGGCCGCTGACAAGGCTCCGCTTCCTTCCTCCTCCCTCCGTCCCCCCCTAGCGACCGCCGAGCCTCTGGGAGAGCCGCGGGCGCCGCGGGTTTCGGGGGGCCGGCCGGGCGGGGTGCGGCGCGGCGGGGCGGGCAGGGCCCCGCGCGGCCGGCGGGCGCTGCGATGTGTCGAATTGGCTTTTAAAAACCGAGGGCTGAGCCCCGGCGTGGGTGGGGGTGGGGTGCGCGCCGGCGAGCTGCGGGGAGCGGCGTGGGTGGGGCGCGGTGGGGGCGCGGGCCGGCCCGCCCCTCCTGCTCCGGCGCCGGGTGGAACCCCGTGCTACCCTCTCCCCGCACTTTTTGCGGATCTTCCTTCATTTAATGACTGTGCTCCCCCTGCATGCAAGGCTTCTTGGGTGTTTTGTACAAATATATTTTGCACTGGGAAGGAAAAGTGCTTTTACAAGTTAAAATGCAATGTGCCCCCCCCCCCCTCCTTCCTTCCCCGGTAGGCACGTATATTTTTGAGACCATTAACCTGAGTTGTTTTTGTGTGTGTGTGTGTGTGTCTCCAACCATCTCCTTTTCGTTTCTTACCTTTGACGTCCAAAGAGTGCAAGGCCTTTAAGACGGCAAGTTGCATGAAAAAAATGTGATTTCAACTTTCCGTTTTGCACGTTAGCTTTTGTGCAGATGTCCTTTTCCCAAAAGGCTTTCAATTGAGTTAAAATAGTTGTGGAGTTCAGTGATATAAATAGCCAAGAGGGAAGAGATTTTTAGGTAAAAAGCTTGGGAAGGGGGGGGAAGGGAATGATGCATAGGGGAAAAACAGGTTTGAATATTTAGCAAAGAATCGAAGTGAAGGAAGAGAGAAAGGTAATTTTGCTCCGAGGATTCCTTTTGTACATTTTGGTGTGGCCGAATATCTTCGTCCAGAAGATTTCATTCTACAGCTAGGTTCAGTTTCCCATAGACATTTCCTCTTCGAGTATTTATTTAGACCTGGAATAGAAACATTCAGGGACCAAACCAGTTTTCTTGGATTATTTTAATAGATAGATAATTAAACCCTTGAAAGAGTTAACAGGTTGGATTGACTTCTGGTTTGCTATAAACAAGTTGCTCTTTGGGTAATTAAGTAAAATTAAAGTTGTTTTGCTCAAGATGATGACAAATGAGCAAAATTAATTCTTTGCAAGATCCTTTGGAATCTGAGGGGCATGGTGAAGAGAGGCCAAACAGGCTTCCTTTGAGAATCTTTCCACCAGCTTTTTCCCTCTGGAGCCAGTGATTTCCTGGCAATCCAGTGCAAGAAGTGGGTGGCGAGTGTTGCGTTGTGATAGGGCTCCTACTCCACCGTTCATTACTCCTCACCCAGGCAGTGATGTTCCTTGAAGTTTTCCACTCGTTCCATGTTTTATGGCAGTTTTAACCTTACTCATTCTTCTGCAGACTTCTTGTACACTTAGAGAAAAACTAACTTTGGCTATTTGCTTTTTCCCCTTACATTTAAGCAAGATCTACCAGTCAGTATTGGAGGGGAAGGGAACTTTTGAACACATTGTACAATGTTAGTGACAGTACATGGCCTTTTAATTTTTCATTCCCAAGTCTCCTTTTTTTCCTAAAGCAGTACCAAATGTCGGGGAATAACCTTTTCCCAATCAGTGCTCTGGGTGGTGGTTGTGTATGTGGGCAGTACTGGGCAATTAGTGTCATGCCAGCCGTGGATACCATCTCAATGTTTAGTAGCGTAAACACAAACAGAACTCAGTTTTAATCGTATGAGTTTTAATCGGTATGTGTTCTTTTTTCCAGGAGCTGGAGGAGGGAATGATATTCAGTGGTGTTTTTCTCAGGTGAAAGGAGCAGTAGATGATGATGTAGCAGAAGGTAAGAAAACATTTACGAATGCAAATTTTGAATACAGAATCTTCAAAATCTTGATTGCTAAAGGATTTCTTTGTGGATGAGTCTGTTATATAGGACATCTTGTGTTGTCCAAGCAACAGAAGAACAGTTTCAGGAAAATAGTTTCAAATCTTTCATTCTTTAGGCCTCCTTATTAATTTTCCATGAATTAAATGAAAGGAGCAGTAGATGATATATGTAAGACCCATCAAAAGAGAAATCCAAGGTCTATACGATAAAGGTTTCCTTGCTACGTAAATTCCACATACAAGTAAATGGGATGCCTTTTCATGCTGTACATCATTTTTAGGTAATTAAGTTGAAATAGGTGCCATCAACATTCAGCTCTGAAAGCATCTTGACAGAATCTTGTATTTTAGAGGGAAGCTTTTTAGTTTTTTGTGTGTTTTTTAACTTGCCTACTTTGAAGGTGTGGTGTTGATTATCGTATTCAGTGAAGAAATGTTTGTTCAAATGATTCATTTTATTGTCTTATAAGGATTAATTTAGGTGGATAAAAATAACAGTGCTATGGTTATATCACATGTCTTCCAGGGAGCATATTGTGCAGTTAAAAGCTGGATTTGATCAGTTGATGTAATAGAATAGTATTAGTTTTTCCTCCAAATTTGTTTATTAGTATATTTCAAAAGTTCAAAGTTTTGAAACTTTAGGATTCTGTTCTCATTTGAGATGTGGAGGAGACATTTCCCAAAAGTAGTTGCATTGTTTTATTCAGCAATAAAATTTTTAAAGTTCAGATTTTAATAGTGTTCTGTCTTGAATGACGGTAGGAATTTTCCAACGAAACTCAGATAAATTAAAACATGGATGTTTAAGCCCTGGCTGGGGAGCTCAGTTGGTTGGAACATTGTTCTGACTCACCGAAGATGCAGGCTTTCTCCCTGGTCAGGGCACATGCAAGAAGCAGCCATTGAGGCAGCAAGTTGATGCTTCCTTTCTCTCTCTCCCTCTCTCTCCCTCCCTTCCTTTTCTCTTTCTCTAACAATAAATTTTAAAATTTAATTTTAAAAATGTCTAGTGAAAGTTTATAAATCAACTTTCTCAAGATTATATTGTCCTCATATTAAGACACTGTTTTGAGGATTTTTTCCATGTTATGGTAGGATAATGGCTTTGTGTTAAGCCAGGAGGATACTTGGATATATCAGTGTCATTTTTAACGCAGTGTCTGATCAGAGTTTTGCGAGTCGTGTGGGGAGCCAACTGGCATTCATTATACTTGTGATACTTTACCGGGCACTCTCACATTTCCTCTTTTGACTCCATCTGTTTTTCACATGAGAAACAGAGAGACTCATATATGGTCGCACAAATAAGGCAAATCAAGGTTTTCTGATGAAACCTTTCGGTGTAAGACTTGTTAAGAGAAATAAATTCTAAGTTGCAGGGAGGAGTCATGTGTTACTCATTTTGTAATTTCATTACCTGTTGAATAGTAGGCACTCAAATACTGGATCATAGCTCTGTGCTGTTGTGTAATACGCACCAAGTTATGAAAGTGCTGTATACTTGAAAAACCTTCCTTGGTTGATTTCTTTCCATTTATTCCTTTTGTCAGAGACCTGTTGGGGGCCTCCTGAAATCTGAGCACTGGGGCCACGGGGTGTCTAGAACATAAACCCTGCCCTGAAGGAGCTCATACTTTTTTACTTATTAAGTGGTAGGCAGAAAGACCAAATGGTTGTTTTTTGTTTACTCATTTGTTTTTTAAAATTCCAGGACTTCCTGAGGGGGGTGCCATAAGAAAATTCAGTTGAGATTTATATGCTATTTTCCGACAAAGGAGAATGGAGTGGTGGGGTTACGAGGGGGCTGGGATTTTCAAGGGAAAATAGGTAGTTTACAAGTATTATAGATGGGAGAGTGAATATGTAAAATTCTTTCAAAAACAGCATTACCCAGAGGGAAGTGCAATAAACAGGCTTTACTAGATATCTCTCTCTCTCTCTCTGCCACATTTACTTCATAGTATGATGCTAAGGTGGTCCTTCCTTTAAGCAGGGTTTTCTATCTGAATTCCTTTAGACAGGTAGAGGAAGGGTCACAAGTTCTTTCTGAATTTTTTGTTTCCTAACAACCAACCCAAAAATCAATATCTAAAAAGCATATTTTGGGGTGGCAAACCTTTGGTGCCCTTCAGCCCTGCCTTTGAAACTTTGAATGAAAAGTTTCATATTTCAGAAGCTAAGTTGGTAGGTTACTTCTTTTTAATTTAACCAACAGTTCAGTTAAACTTTTGTGTCTCCTTTGATGAGGCATTGGTGCAGATGAGCTCCCAAATTAGGCACATGGGTTTTATTTAATCAGGAGAAAGTGATCATTGCAGACTTACCTAACTGAACTAAATGATTGTGATATGTATGATAGATCAGTTGTTCTCTTCTGCTGATACTTAGCTTCATTTTGCTACTGATTTATTGCATATTTTTCTGAGATTGTATACTTTAGCATACAGTATATTCCTAGCATTAACATGCTGAGGCTTAATATGTATATTTAATAAAACTATGACTTGTTCTAGTACCTATGTCTTTTACAAATGTACTGATTTTCAACTTACACTCTTAATTTTGGGTATTTTTGCATACTCTACATATCATAGTCTATTGTGTTTACTAAGGGAATAATTTGCTTTACTGAAATAAAATAAGATTAATACATTGTCCCCCTTGGTTTGTATTAATCTCTAAACTGGTTATATCTAGCTCAGTCTTTAGCTTTGTTTGCCTTTTTTCTGTTAATGATATAGCCCAAATTGTCTTTCCCCTCCTACTTGTAGTTGGCTATCATGGCACACCATTTTTACTTCTATAATATTATAATCTTTCCATACTCACTTTCACCTTAGTACAGGTTCTCAGTATCTCTCATCAGGATTGGATTAATTTCCCATATGACTCCCTGCTTCTTGTGCTGTTTTCTTCTAAGTTAACCTTAAATGCAGTCTCAGTGTTATTTTCTTTAGAAATCTTCAGTGGGCACTGTATCCACAGGATTATAAACTACTTTCAGATATTTCAGTCTAGAATATGACACCTTTCGTCACTATGCCTCTACTTCTCTGAGTTGATTAGGTAATACGGTTTACAGTTCAGCTAACTGGATACTGTTCTTCAGACACTACTATACCCTTTTGAGTGTTAGTGTTTTGCTGTTCCCTCCCTTGGAATGCCTTTCACTCCTCCCACAAACTTCCTTCATAACATTTTGTATATACAGTATATTTAGTACCTCTGTACTCTACACTGGCCTATATAAAAACTGCTGTGCTTGGATGCCTGGCACACAGTAGGTGTTCAGTATTTGTTGAATGAAAGCGTATAAATGTTACTACTATTATGATGTTATGAAGGGGGAAGGTAGATGAAATGTAGGCTGATGAGATCTTTCTGGCCTTTATGGATTTATTTATTTGGTAGGCTTTATAACTGGATTATGACATACAGTATCATAGTATATCACTTTAGATAAGCTCTCCTTTGGGTTCCAGTTTATTTAATTTTAAGATTACTAGACTGGACTAGGTGATTTCTATTGTTCCTTCTAATCTTGTTAATTCTCAAAGGTGTCCTAGAAAGAAACAGTTAAATTGATTGAGATACTGGACTCTCTGGGAGCCTTAATTTAAAAATTAGTCTACTGGACTTAGTTATTCAAGGCTTAGAATTTTCATTAATTTAATATTAATATTGTTAAATATTAAATACTTTTTATGGTTTTCATTATTTTAATGTAAGTATAATTTTCCTTAGCTTCATATTTGATATTCTTAAACTTCCTTTCATAGGAAATTATTTTAGAATGTGATTTTATTACATGAAGCCTATTTTTATGAGCCTTTGATCCAAATGCAGTGCATTTTTTCAGCACTTGGCTTCCTGTTTATTTTTGGTAGGATTTAGACATTTATGGATGGTTCTCAGGAAAATAATTTTCAATTGTAGAGTGGAAATACTCTCCAAACAAGGACATAAATAAAATTATAAGAAACAACTAATTTTTGAGGTTTCACATAATGTTTAATAGTTTTAAATCCATTCTATATGTAATGTTACATATTCTTTTGAATAGAACACATCCTAGATTTAGGCATTGGTGTCAATTAGTAGGGGGGGAAATGGTAGAACCTTGTTGTTTGCAGATTTCAAATATGGGCACACAAGAGGCCCGGTGCATGGATTTGACCAGGGCCTGTCCAGCCCGTCTTGCCCAGTCCCTACCGGTCAGAGCATCTGCCCCCTGGTGGTCAGTGCGCATCATAGTGACTGGCTGACCAGTCGAATGGATGGTCAGACACTTAGCATATTAGGCTTTTATTTATAGGATTAACTATATTTAAAACCTAATGACCCATAGCAATGTTCGTATTTAAAATTTTTATCTTATATCCCATGAGGTACTCCTCTTCTCTTTTACTACCATTACTGATAGAAGTCTAGTACTTAATGCAGTACAATCACTTAGAGTAATGTAAAATTGCCCATAAATAACAGGAATGACCATATTTATCTGGTATTAGGCAATATCTGTGTCTTCTTTTCAAGGTACTAATTTTCTTATTCCTTCATTGATAACAATTCTTATATACAGGTTGCATAAAATTTGTGCATGAGGGTGAGGTGTGTCCCTCCGCCTAGCCTGCACCCTTTTCAGTCTGGGTCCCCTCTCACAATCCAATACTGCTGGCTCCCAACCACTCGCCTGCCTGATTGCTCCTAACCGCTTCTGCCCGCCAGCCTGATCGACACCTAACTGCTCCCCTGCCAGCCCAATTGCCCCTACCTGCCCTCCCCTGCTGGCCTGATCACCCCTAACTGCCCTCTCCTGCTGGCCTGGTCGCCCTTAACTGTCCTCCTCTGCAGGCCTAGTTGCTCCCAACTGCCATTCCCTGCTGACCCAATGAGCCCTAACTACCCTCCCTTGCCAGACTGGTTGCCCCTAACTGCATTCTCCTGCTG